AGGTGACAGGAGGCTGGGATGGAAGCTGCCCTTTGGAGAGACACAGCAGCTCTTATCCGGAATGACAGAGGCCTGGTAGATTGATCCCACTGAGCAATGTAGTTAAGCCAACCTATGCCCTGGTGTAGCCAGCGTGAGGTCGGTGGACGAACTCTTCCATCAGCCTCTCAGGGAAGTGGATTAATACAGCGATGAGAGACCCCCCCCGTTGGCATAAGTAGTGTCTACACTGCAGCACTGCAGCGGTGTCCCTGTAGCGTTTCAAGTGTAGACAAGCCTAGAGAGACGGGGCCCAAATGGATTCCATGGCAGCTTGGCCGGGTAGAGCCCTGATGTCGGCCAGTCTGGGCAAAGCCCCGATGTCGGCCAGTCTGGGCTGTGTCATAACCTTCGCTCCTCTGTGCTCACCTACGGCCTGCCCAGTGCTGGGTTCCCGGTGACTGCTAGACCCGGCTCTGTGTTGCAGAGGCTGCCTGGTGTCGCTGCAAGACTGGGTGAGATGTATGAGACCCTGAAAAGCATCAAAGTCTGTGACCGGGATGGGGTGAAGCAGGAGGACGGGAGACCAGGGGCTCAGTCTCGGAGGTGGGGAGGCTGTGTGGCCTGCCTTTAAGGAGGAGTGGGACCCCTTGGGGGGCTGGCACACTGTCAAGGGACTGTGTAAAGCTGGGGCTGTAGCCCATAGGGCTGGCTTACCCTCATTCTAGTCAGCTGTAACGCAAGGAACCCAGAGGCTGTATCCTGTCAGACATTCGCTCAAGCAAGTTAGCGTAAGTGCAGTCGAGTATCGTCGGCCTGTGACACAGATAAAGGGTCTGACAGTTACTCTGAGATTTTGGGGAACTAGGAATAACTTGTGTAATAGCAGGAGTTGGAACTTAACAGTACACAGCAGCCACAGGAACATGGACGTGATAACCACAAATCTGCTCGAGCATGAGGTGACCGGTATGATAATGAGCTAAAACAGCATGAATATGTATCACTGTGTTCGCCTATGGGATAAATGCCCCCCTCATATTATCAGGGTGAGGATGTTAGATTTGGGCATGGAAGGGTGAGCATAAGCGTGAATATTCATGATAGCGCGCAGGCCCTATAATAGGGTACACCACCATGTGGAGGGTTGGTTTTTCCATTATTTGACCTTTCAGCTCTATTGTTATCTACCATGAACCGTGGGCAGCGAGGACCCAGCACCTGAACACCATCTGACTCATTCGGCATGCCAGAGACGGGGCTGGTTCTTTGTCTCTCACCACCAGATCCTCGAGGAAGGGTGTGAATATGCAAAACTAAAAGCTCATGCAAAGAATGATACCATACGTATCCCCAATACTGGATTAATCCTACCTCTCTATGTGGCTTGGAGCTTCTCTGTTTTTTTCACTGATTTTAATCAAAATCTCCAAGGCTTTGTTTTGCCCTCAGCATGAATGTCCATGCCACACACCTCAAGGTTCCCTACAAAATACTGAACTTGTTGGTTTTAGTTGTGTCTAGCCTGATTCTGGGACAAGAACCCTCTTACCCTCAGCCCATTCATCAATTGGCAATGAATACAAGTATTACTAACCATTAAAAAGGATCAGGCAACAGGCTTAGCACTGATCCTGGGAAGCTGCAGCAGTCAGCACAGTGACCTTTATCAACCAAACACCGAATCTCCTCGCAGAAGGATACTGAGTTTGTTTCCCAAGACCCGTTTCCCATGAAGCCATGCTGGCTGGTGCGAATTCCCTTTCCACCCTTTCATTCTTGGCGCCCTGTATGAAGCATTCCCATGATTCTGCCCAGGATCAATGTCAGAGGAAATGGGGAGACACACTGAGTCACTGGCATGGCGGGAGGGTGTGAGGGGATGAGAACCCTGATATTGAGGTGAGGGGACAATGGAAGCACATACAGATTTTGCCCAGGATTGGTGACAGGTACCAGCCTATACTTCCCCAGACCATCCCATTTATTCTTTGTAAATACAGGCACAACCTTATCTTCCCTCCCCGCATCCTCTGGAACTTCCCTAGGGTTCCAGGTTGTGTTAAAAATCTACATCAATTGCTGAGAGAGCTCTCAGCCAGTTCTTCTAAGACTCTTGGGTGCAAATGATCTGCTACTGATTTATTTCAAAGGGAGTGTGCAGCAAGCACATGACTCTTGCTCATCAAAATATTTCAGACAGAACAGTTTTCCTTAGGAAAAGCCTGACTCAAAAAAATCTAAAGGTTTCAAGGGAATACATCGATTTTGTGTAATTTTTTGATGAAAAATAATCACAACAATTTGTTTAGATTGAAACATTTGGTTGCGACTTTATTTTTTTTAACTTTTGTTATTTAATGTTATATTACTGGTATATAATATATCAGTGAAAACATCTGGATTTTTATATTATATTATATTATATTACATTATATTATATTATATTAAACATAAAAGTCAAGCTGCTAAAGTTGAAATGGAAACATGATGAACTTACTGAAATGAAATAGTTAGATGTGGTCAAACCAAAATCTGTTTTCAATTTTTCCAAAACAAAATTTGGAATTCCCATTCTGTAGAAGATTTCAAATTTTAGTTCTGATTCATAAGGAAAAAATAGAAGTTTCAGAATTTCCGATGGATCTGGAATTCCGGTTTGTGACCAGCCCTTCACACAAGTAATGAGACTCACATCTTCCCCCTGCTCCTCCAGAATCACCCCTTTCCCAGCTCTGGGCCCCATCTCCTCCTGCACCCCCCAGAATCACCCGTCCTAGATCTGGGCCCTATCTCCCCGCTGCACCCCCAGAATCATCCATCTCAGCTCAGGGCTCCCTCTCCCCTATATACCCAGAATCACCCGCTCCCAGCTCTGCCATGGACTGAACCAGATAGAAAGCCACTGAGGGCAAATGTGAAGCATCTTCCCCCCTTTTCCCTCTGCTTTACCCCCGGGAAGGGCAGAGGGGTCACAGTCAGATGGGAAATGCCCCACTGGGGCCTCACTTACTTATCAATATAATTCACAATCACTTTGAGTGCGGCCGGGTTGATGCTCCTGGTGGTCTCTGGCCCGAAGCAGAGGAGAAGGGGCAGCAGCAGGAGTCCAGCCCTAGGCATCCGTCCCGGCACCTGCACAGGACCCCCACAGCCTCAGTGCCCCCAAGCCCTGGGCACAAACCCTGAGCCCCCCAACCCACATCCCCTAGCCCCTGCTGTGTTACCAACAGGAGATGGGACAGAGAAGAATCCCCTGGAACTTCATGGGGTGGGGGTGGGGTGTAGGTGAATGGCAGAGGGGACCCATATGGGATTACTTGGGGCAGGGGGCAGGTGGGCAGAGGGGTGACCCCTGGGGCTCCATGGGCCAGGAGGTAGGGGAACAAGGGGGACTCACAAGGATTTCCATGGGGCAGGAGGAGGCAGGTGGGGAACTCACCATAGTTTCCAGGGGGCAGGAGCAGGAGGTGCCGTCACTCACTGACAGATGCTCACACCAGATGCCCAGTGATGGACTCTCAGCTGAGTCCCTCCCAGCTCCTATTTATACAGTTCGCCTGGCCCCTCCCCTGCCCCACTGATCTCTGTGGGCGGGGGGCAGAGCGAGGGGCGGATGAAGCAGCCTCTAATTTCCTGCTGTGACAACAGCAGCTGTTGGGCTGGGCCAGAGAGGGCTGCTCTGGGGCCAGGGTGTCCGTGGTTTGCTGCCCTGAACACAGACCTGGTTCCCAAGCTGGCCTGGCTGCGCTGCAGGGGGCCCAGGCTTGGCACCATGGAGGCTACAGGCCTGGCCCTGTGGAACCATGTGGGACCTTGGGGCCTGACCCACTAATGGGGGCTGAGGTGGGCAGGGCTGGGGGGGGGGAGGAGCTGGGGGGGAGTGCAGCTGGGGTGAATAGACTCTCAGGAGGGGTGGGGGAGGGCTGGGGCCAGCAGCCAACCAGCACCAGGCCCAGACCGGCCGAGACCATCTGCACCTTCGGGTGAACTGGCCAGAGGTGCCCATTGCTCGAGGCGCTGGCCAGACACAGAGTCGCCGAGATTGGGGCCCTGTCACGCCAGGCACTGCCCAGACACAGAGTGAGAGACAATCTCTGGCCTGAGGAGCGCACCCTGACTAGTGCTGTTAGGGGGTTAAGTGGGTGTTATCTGGCTGAGATTTTCAAGGAAGCTGAATCAGCTGAATCCAAACAGCGAGGGGCCCAGTTTGCCCTGGAGTTTGGGGAAGTGAGAGCAGAGGAAGGTGCCGACCCCGCTCGCCGGCTGTGTGGATTTTGCTGACTGGGGCTGGGTTAGACTGAAGAACATGTCAGCGCTTTAGCCAGGCAGCACCAATGGGACCTTTCACCTGTGGTTCCTGGGTGCAGTGTGTGGCCCAGCAATGCCCCAGGCGGCATGTGGTGGAGAAAGCTGAGGGCACTTCCTGGGCAGGGGTGGTGGGAGCAGGATTTGGGAATTATCTGAGTGCACTGTTGGAACCAGAGTGGGGCTAATGCCTCAGCCCTGTTCACCTGTGCCCAGCGGAGAGGTGGGGGGCAGGAGGACTCAGCAGGGTTTCCATGGGGCAGGAGGAGGCGGGGGTGTTGTGGTGGAAGATTGTCTCAAACACAGAGGCTGTGTCGTTGTTGCTGCCCCGGGAGGCACCACTGGCCGTCCCCATGATGTGAAAGAGCCTCTTCTCCCGCAGCCATGTCCCCACGCGGGTGAGCTGAGGGTGCAGATCAGGCACCTGCTCTGTCTGTGGGTCCCAGCCAGGAGCCTCCCCTCTGGCCACCGGGGAGCAGGCAACACTGGGACAGCTGGGCTGGGATCAGTGGGGCCGGGAGGCCGCCCCCTTCCCTTCAGCCAGGCTCCACAGTCGCTCTTTGTATCTTTTCCAGCCAGTTCCTGGGCAGAGCCTCCTCCCTTCTTCCAGGGCTGCCTGCAACTGGCATGGGGCTGGCTGAAGAATGGCCCTTTGACCCTGCACTGCCAGGGGCCAGAGCAGAGTGAGGGCAGAGACATGGGACACCAGCTTGGCCATGGGCTGGCCAGCCCTGAGCTCTGGGCCGGCTGCATCCCTGCCCCTCCCTCCGCCCCGTCACCCCTGCGAGAAGGGCTGGTGGCTAGAAGCAGGGGGACCATTTCCTGCCCCTCCCCAGTCAGCCAGCGCCGTGGGGAATGGTCGTGGGGCATCTGTCACAAGGCCCAGCCAGCAGCCTCCCCGGCCATCCAGCAGGGCTGCTGTGAGAGGATCTAAGTCTCTGTGCGTTGCACCCCAGGGATATTGCAAGCTCCTGGATCCTGACCAGAAGCCAGCCACTGCCCCAGCCTCAGGATCCAGACACCACTCGGGGTGCAGCCCTTCCCCCCAGCACCTCCCTCTGGGTTTGGGAACCCAGCCATCCGCCCAGCCCCTGGGTACAGCATGCACCCCTCCCCATACTGCCCCCCCGCCAGCATGAAACTGCTATTTCCAGTTTAATGCCCTCAGGGTGCGCAGCCGGTGTGAAGCGGACAACACACAGGCATATGGGCACACTGTGACCTCATTGTGCTCCTTATATTTGGTCATGGAAAGCCCAGGGAAGTGTAGATCATATAGTGCCATCAAACCTCCCAGGACCCTGGTGTCTGGCCCCATTGACTCCAAGGGAGTGGGGCCATTTCACATCAGCTGGGATCTGGAGCGGGGCCATTGACTCTGGCCTTGCTTTTGGCCCATGAACTCTCCTTAGTGAGGCCATGTCTGTGGGTCACGTGTGGTGTTTGGGCACCAAGCCCGAGAGTCCATTGGTCTCTCTCTCTCTCATCAGGTTATTTTGGCTGTGAGTCCTTCAGGGAAACGATTCTCAGGGGTTTATTTCCTGTTGAAGTAACTCCCCAGACTGTGCCAAGCTCGTGTCACTGCCCTGGGATCGGCGTGAGGGGAGTGTCTATGTTGCTGAAATCAATGGGGTTACGTTGATCACACCAGCTGGGATCTGGCCCTGTCTGCTCAATCCCTCTCCATTTCCCCACTCCAAGGGGAGTGAAAAACAAACCCAGCCCCAGGCCCTCCCTGCACACACAGCCCTGGCAGCGGGGACCCCAGACCGCAGTGCTGCCACTCCGCACACCCCAAGAAAGAGTGAAGCTGGCACCAGCCTTCATCAACAGAGACCTGACTCCTCCCCCTGCCCCACAGCCCTGGGTGAGTGCCCCCCGCTCCCTTAGGGGAAAGCCTGGCAGTGTGTGACAGATGAGCGCCCCGTCTTGGCCACTCACCAGATTGCTGTGAGGGGACCCAGCCACTGGATCCTGAGTATGAAGAAAGCCCAGACTTTGTCCCTGTCTTGGGGTCCCCAGGCACACTCTTGGGGTGCAGACCCTCTGCCTAGCACCCGCCCTGACAGCTTAGACACCCGGCGCCCTGCCCAGCCCCTGCAACCAGAGCCATGAGCAGAATCTGAGATTCCTGGTTACCAGTGTGCTGCTGCTGACAACGGGAGAGAAGTTTAACCCAGTGAGACACTGTTTGTCAAGTCCTTCTCCCGTGGCTGGTCTAGGAAGGCGCTAGTTATTACTCCTTGAGCTCAGCTAATAAGAGCCTAAGTTAGGGAGCTAAAGTGTAAGGGGTTCAAACGTTGCTGCTGATCTATGTAGGGCTGAGTGTTCTTTTCATTCTGGGTTTGTACAGCGCCTAAGTACTCCTCCTTGTTTTTACAAAAACTAATTCCCCCTTTGCTAAATACTCACCCCTTCTTGTCAACTGTTTACATTGGCATCATTAGCACTACAAAAATGATTCCACTCCTTCTTGTCAACTGTTGAGTACAGCCCACTTCCACCTTAACTGAATAGGCTTGTTAGCACTGACCCCCCACTTGGTAAGGCAACTCCCATCTTTTCATATGCTGTGTATTTATACCTCCCTACTGTATGTTCCACTCCATGCATCCGATGAAGTGGGTTTTAGCCCACGAAAGCTTATGTCCAAATAAATTTGTTAGTCTCTAAGGGTACGTCTATACCCAGCCGCTAGTTTGGCGGCTGGCAATCGAACTTCTGGGTTCGACTTATCGCGTCTTGTCTGGACGCGATAAGTCGAACCCGGAAGTGCTCGCCGTCGACTGCGGTACTCCAGCTCGGCGAGAGGAGTACCGCGGAGTCGACGGGGGAGCCTGCCTGCTGCGTGTGGACCGAGGTAAGTTCGAACTAAGGTACTTCGAACTTCAGCTACGTTATTCACGTAGCTGAAGTTGCGTACCTTAGTTCGATTTGGGGGTTTAGTGTAGACCAAGCCTAAGGTGCCACAAGGACTTCTCGTTGTTTTATCTGTAAGCTTTGTAAAGAGGAAACAAACCCTTAAATTTTTTTTTTTGCTAACAGTGAATATAAAGATGTTCTATTTCTCGCAAAAATATACCAGCTTGTTTTTTAAAGTTATGCCCGAAGGTAAACTTCTGTAAAGAAATTCTACAAAACTCCCCTAAGCTAACTTAAAAGAAGAAACAGCTTATGTAAAAGAGTGAACACATTTTACCAGAGAGAAGGAATCTGTTTTCCCCACCGCACACACTTTGAAGTATAAGACCCTGAAGAAACAAATCTTTTAAAAAAGTTTCCTTCATTTTCATACCTAAATAATTATCATTCTTGCAACACAAAGATTTTAGTCTAAAGGCCATGCCTGATAAGAAAACCCCTGTGTACAGAAATGTCAATTGTAAAGAAATAGCAATATAACCATTTACAATCCAAATAAAATGTATTTAACACGTGCTTTTAAACTGTTTTACAATAAAAGTTTAAAGGAGAGAAATTCTGTAGCAACAGGTCCCCCGTCCTTTTTTTTCCTAGAAGAAAATTATGTAAAGGAGGTAGATAAAAATGGCCCCCCTCCCCTTGTTATTCGTAGAAACAACCCTCCCCCCCCCACACTTTCTTCTTTCCTAATGTTTTTTTAAATCTAAATCAAGGACAAATCAACTTTTAACACATTAATTAAAGGGAACAGGCATGTAGATTTCTTTTTTTAGCTTTGTTAAAGACACTTGTGAAAGTTATATCAAACTTCCTTATTTCATTTACTGGAAACTGACTTTAGCTTTGTAAAGGGTAAACATAATTTACAATAAAAGTTTAAGAGGAATGAATAACTGCATGAAGGAGTAAGATAAATATCCCCCCTCCCTTGTTATTTGGAGCTGTTAACTACTGCAACAAAAAATATTTATTAGGAATAAAGCTTTATAAAAATTTTAAAAGACAAAAGCCATGGTTTTGTGACGGCATGAAGTTCAGAGATAGCCCTCACCCTTCCTGACTTTCCCCCTCCATTTAACGCTTTTGCTAAGCATGCAGTGTTTAATCATATCAAATACAGTTTTTTAAAAGTTTAACATGAAAATACAACGTTGAATGAGCTGTCACATAACAAGGCCTTTTTGGGGAATGTTTCATATGCAGTGAGGCCTATTTGAAGCAGCAAGCTTTTTAAAAAGCTGCAGGGAAAGCACTTAAAATTAAATAAGGTGAGTAAAAGCTGTACTATCACAAC